TGGTGTCTGGCTCCTTTTTAAAATAATTTTGCCTTAATACAATTAGGTAAGTAATAGTTGTGTCTCACATGTTTTGTCAGACTACAGCCACAAAATAAAGATTTTCATTCTCTCCTTAAAAGCTATTAGAGCAGTAGAGCGTTAAAATTATAGAGGGAAGGAAAATAAACACTCCAGCCTCTTTTTCATTATCTAACACTGAGTTCATCTTGAGTCAATGCTGAAAAATCAATTCCAGAGTCTACATATAGAAAGCAGCTGTCAGCAAAGACCATTATTCTGCCAACAAACAATGCCAGGAACGAAATACCAATAGAGCACAGGCAGTGTTACAGAGTGGGTCTTGGGCTAGCAAGCTCCAAACTCTAGTTATCAACTAATATTAACACTAACATACACCATTTACAGTACATCATCCTTTATCATGACTAGGGGTCCTATTAAAGCTGCAGTAGGTAACTTTTATAAAAATAACCTTTTGTCATTATTACTGAAATTTTCACTGTGTAAAAATCTACCGGGCCCAAAAGAAAACAACCAATCAGAGCCAAGAAAGATATAAAAACGCTTTGGGTTGGCTTGAAGAGTAGATTTTTTTAGTCCTGCAAATGCCAATAGGAGCACTAGGATGAGCCAAGAAAGATACAGCATAAAGATGCTTTGGAAGCTTCAATATAGTTAATTGTTAAGTCTCATTCCCAGGGTCTTAAAGCCTCCAAATTTGACGCTCTGGGAATGAGACTGAACAATCAGTTATCTTTCTCAGCTCTGGTTGTTGTTTTTTTTCGTCCAGGCCCGGTAGATTCTTGCAAATGCCATTAGGAGCACTAGGAGGAGCAAGAGGAACCTGATTTTGTCTTGTGTACTACTGTCAGGATATAGTGAAAGACAACCACATTTTGAAGATGGTTAAAAGATAAAAGTGACATATATAATGACATCTTAATAGTTGTAGGAGTAGTTAATTAGCTAACTAGCTTGCTAATCTACATCAATTGTTCGCTAGCTAGTTACAACTGATAGCTGATTGATATAGATTTGCTAGCTAGTTGGCTAGCATTTCGCTTACATTAGCTAACTTAAGATGTGTCAATAAATATATAGACCAATCAGCCATAACATTCTGAGCACCTGTCCCATACCAACAAACTGTGATGTGTGTTCTGACACCTTTCTATCCAGACCAACATTAACTGTTTCAGCAGTTTGAGCCCTACAGTAGCTCGTCTGTTGGATCGGACCACACGAGCCAGCCTTCACTCCCCACGTGCATCAATGAGCCTTGGCCTCCCATGACCCTGTCTCCAGTTCATTTCCTTCCTTGGAGCACTTTTGATAGGGACTGACCCTTTGCAGACCGGGAACACCCCACAAGATTTTGTTGTGGTTTGGAGATACTCTGACCCAGTCGTCTAGCCATCACAATTTGGCCCTTGTCAAAGTCTCTCAAATCCTCACACTGCCCATTTTTCCTGCTTCTAACACATCAACTTTGAGGACAAAATGTTCACTGGCTGTCTAATATATCCCACCCACACTTACAGGGAGCCAGATAACCAGATTAATCAGTTGTTATTCCTTCACCTGTCAGTGGTCATAAAGTTATAGCTGATCGGTGTGTATATACGCACATTTTTAAAGTCTGTTGAATTTGCTGAAAAAAAGTTATGATCCTTAAGATTTCAGTTGATTTAGCGCACACACACACACGGTTGACGGTAACAGCAGGGTTTAGTGGCAAATGGCTCCGAAATCTACTCGCTCAAAGTCATTTTTTACTTCCCTCAATCCAAACTGTTGTTCTCTTCCTCTGCAATGTTTCAAACTGATCCTGAAAATGACCATGTCTTGTTTTGTAGGCACATTTGTGAGGGCTAATCTGTGTGACACTGCATTTCCTGAGACTCCTTCACAATAAAAGCCCCCTGACTTTGTTTTTACCCCTTTGGGTGTTTTGCTGCCTCTAATTGTTGTCTCTTATCCAGACAGGATAACTGAGGTGAAGACAAACATCTACGTCACCAGCTTTGGACCAGTTTCAGACACAGACATGGTGAGAGCAGATATTTGACATTTATTTATTGTGTTTATTCACCCACACATTTGCTGTTGAATAAACACTTAGACAACAACACTGCTGCAGAGGAAAGCCTTGTACTTCCTTGTTCATACAAACCTAAAGAAACAAAAAAGGAACTTTTTCTTTTGCTTTATTTTTAGTTTCATTATGGCTTTCCCTCCTTTCATAATTGCATCATCTCCCTCTCTCTCTCTCTCTCCGCACGCACAACACAATACTGAAGTGGGACGAGTTTTCCACACTACAGCACGATGTCTATTCATCTGACAATTTTCATCTTATAAATTATTGAAAGTCCTCTTGTTATTCTAGTCACTCCTTTGTTTATCCTGGGCTTTCCTGTTTATCATTCTGAAGCATGCGCCCACCTTCACATCATATCATCAGCGTCCCTTCTATTGTTGAAGACCCATTTTCCAAGTGATTGATCTATTGATTTAACAGTTATGATGTTGGAGTTCAATGCAGTGGCCCCTGAAAGATATGTAAACTAGAAGGTACTCAGTTTAATATAAACCAACACTTGTGCGGAACAGGTCTCGGGCACAGAATAATAAATCATTTTAAGACTGAAAAATAAAAAACAAATCGCGTGGTGGAAATCCCAAATCCAGATCACCACCCACATCTGATCTGTCCACTAAATTTCAGCCAAATCAAAACCTGAAGTCTACTATATATAGCAAACAGATGGACAGACAGATAAACATCTGAAAGGGCTGAAAACATCATCTCCTTCAATTTCACTGGCAGAGGTCATCACTGAGTACTGAAGCCACTGCCATTAGAGCTTATAACCATAGAAGTAAGCTACTAATATGTCAGAATTAAAAAGTCCATGGGGTAAATTCTTATCAATGTATGTTCAGATTTGAAAAATCATATTATTATTATGTATTAAAAAGTCAAATTAACATTACAGTATAGCAAAATAGGACACAAGGCTGGAAATACATGATTTATTTCAGGTTATAGTCTGAAATATTATCCTCTGACCTGATTGATTTATTCAGATACTGTAGAGCAATTCAGCTGATTGCCGAGGTCGCCGCTTTATAGGATTTATAGGACGTCTACTGACAGCTGGAGCTGGAGAATGAAATAAAAATAATTAGTACGACCAAAAAACATACCATGTCTAGCTTCAAAAGAGACAGACAATTTTTGTAGTAACACAATGCCTTAAAGGATATTTCTATTAATTACAATTTAGATTAACAGATTAATAGTTATAGCCATCATTTGTATTGGTAATATTAACGTTATACTCACTCATTAAAGTATACTGAAGTCAGTTAGCTGATTTTGGGACGCTGCAGCATCAATAAAAAGTACTCAGAAGAGGAAAGAATCAGATGCAGTTCAGTAAACTGCATGAAAAAAACATGAATGTCTGTCTCTCAATCATTTGGGACTTCCCTATCTGGTGTGTGGGAGTCAGCCTTAAGCCCATTTGTTAATACTGAAGACATAAATCTTTAAGAAAAGGTCACAAATATGTAGTTTAATTTTTTTAAAAGGCAAATCCAATCACAGCAGGACTGCACAGGTCAGGCGTTAGTGAACTTGCAACTTCCCAACTGACAGTCGAGGGACATTTTAGAACATTTACTAATTGGCATAAAGAAAAAAAAAGGATTTCCAGTGTGAATCAATTTGTTTTCATTAAAATAGAAAGTAGTCGACGGGCCACCTGTACCATGTCCCGAGGGCGAGCTCAGGTTAGCTAGACTTACTGAATTATTTGCAGCGGGAAGTTCATATCCAAACATCTGTCACATACAGTATACCATAGACCTATAATTCCCGCTTCATCTGTGATCTACAATACTCTGTTTACTTGTGTGATTAGGGATTATTGCTTATGCTTTAGGTACATTCATTTTCACTTCAAATAAAATGTATTATATTAATTAGCTCTACAAGCTGTGGCTTGTTTGTCATTTGTGTGATCATCTAATTTGCTTTAGTGGATAAAATGCTATCGTAAGCAATAATAATGTCACAGCTACAAAAACAAATGCCAAATTTGTAATAACACAGAATTATCCTTGTACTGTAAGAGCTGCTATACCCTAAAAGAAAAGGTGATTTGGTGTCAGTGGTCAGTTTCGGTGTCTCAAGATCTAAATGTCAGAGGCCTTTTAACTGTGACAAGAAAAAAAAACTCTGGAGGAATTTATCATCCTCTCACTCTTACTTGCTGTGTGTGAATCACACAAACATGCACACGCACTCTCACACGTACACACATTTAACAGCGCAGAGCTTTCTGCCCTAAATCCTTCCTTGTGTGTGGTTTATTTTGACAACAGGGGATTGTAGGTCAAGGGGTTGTCTTGGCCTCAGAGCCAGCTTAGGAAAACACCATCTCAGATAGCTGAGAGGAACACGGAGAGCACCGGCCTCACCTTGATGGAGCTTTGACAACTAGAGAAAGCCAGACAGTGCCCAGGTTTTAAAGTGGCAGGTGAAGTCAGTTGTGAAGAACTGCTGCTTGTAGGCTCAGATAAAACAGGGCAGTGAAAATGTTTTATTTTACATTTTTTCAGCAGAAATTGGAGTAATTTTAATATAGTGGAAAGTTGATACCACTGACTCTATATAATTAGTGGACAGAGCTTCTGGGTCTGTGAAGTGTAGCCAACGTGGAATTGTTTTACACCTGCATTCTTTCTAATGGCCAGCAGGGGGCAGCTCCATAGGCTACAAAAAAGAAGTCAGATAGTATAAAGGCTCATGGAGAAATGACCCTACTTCTTGCTTGAGTTATTAGCTCAGTAAACAGATTCCTAATAATTTTATAGTCTCAGTTGCAAGATTCAAGTCTTTTTGAAGTTTCATGATCATTTTGTAAACTATGATCCCATTTAGAGTAAAATAGATGATAAAGCAGGGTAAGCTTTAGGCTACCTTGTAATTTACAAGTTTACAATTCTCAGTGAGTCCGTCCACCAAACAGCACCAAACTCAGATCAAACTGTCAAACTAGGCAGTGCTGAACAACTATAAACCAAGATTATGTCACTGTATTAACTATTTCTCACTTAAAATCATTCCAGGAACATATTTTAGTGTACTTTTTAGCTGTAATACAAGAATGTGTGTGTTGAAACCACGCACAGCCATTGAGCACAACTCAACTTGCAGTACGTCACTGCTACTGGCTCTAAAAAACCAACAGGGTGCTAAACTCGAGGCTTCAAAACGATATTCCACAAACCAATGAGAGACGTCACAATAGGTTTATACTAGGATGAAACATAAAAGCAATAACACAGTTTAATTTATCCACACATTTACCCTTTTTGCCCACAGGAATACACCATAGACGTTTTCTTCAGGCAAAGCTGGAAGGATGAGAGGTTGAAATTTCATGGACCAATGAATATTTTGCCCCTCAACAACTTGATGGCAAGTAAAATCTGGACTCCGGACACCTTCTTCCACAATGGGAAAAAGTCTGTGGCTCATAACATGACCATGCCTAATAAACTGCTGAGGATCAAAGATGATGGGACACTGCTGTACACAATGAGGTAATTAAAGTCCCAGAAGCAAGTTCTATTGATGTTTAATGTGCTGAGATGGATTTCAAGGTCCAGTGTGTAACATTTAGGAGGATCTTCTGGCAAAGAAAAAAATTAATAAAATATGCATAACTATGTTTTTATTAATGTATAATGACTTGATTATAGTAATCATTACCTTTCTGTTACCTTAGAATGAGCCTTTTATATCCACAGACGCTGTGGGTCCCTCCCATGGAGTGTGCCATGTTGAACCGCAGTGTTTCTATAGTACCCCAGAAGGAACAAACCAAACACTGGCTCTAGATAGGGCTGTTTACATTTTGCATGTTTTTCATGCATTTCGCAGCTACCATAGTTTCTCCTTTGCACTTTGAAGCGGAGGGTAAAGCGAGTTTCAGTCTGCAACTACACCGCTACATGCCAGTAAATCTTACACACTGGACCTTTAAAGGAATAGTTCAGCACTTTCCTTTCTTGCTGAGACTTTGAGAAGACGACATTCATCTCTATGCTAAATATGAAGCTACAGTCAGCAGCCTGTCACAGAACCCCCCGCAAAAGAAACACAGCTAGGCATTTTTACACTTTGGTTTTTGTATGTTCACCCTGTTTTTGTGCTAAACTAAGCTAACAAGCCTCTGGCTGTAGCTTCATATTCAGCGTACACACATGAGAGTGGTATCGATCTTCTCTGCAAGAAAGTAAAAAACTTGTACAGTAAAATGTTGAACTATTCCTTGAAGAGGAATGACTTGGACAGAACACTTATAGCCTCATAGAAGCAGGTCCAGTACATACAGAATCCCATTTGTTCAAATGTATTCTTCACGCATCCTATTTTATGTAACTTAGCATCCTTTTGTCAACATGCATTTCAAGAAAATCAATTTGAATGATAAACTACTGCAAGTTGTTTTTCACAGGGGTTGAATAGTGTTTTATAATAGTACAGTTGCATACTATGCAGTTTCTTATCAAAGAGCTAATCTCACCATATAGACACACACACAGTGTTTTGATTTCTGCTGGTCTCTGCAGTACCTTGTTTACTTTGCTCTGCTGATTAGAGTTAAGATTTTGTTTCAAGGCATTACAGAAGGGAAGCGTCTTGAATAATGCATGAGGCTTTTTTTTTCTTTTAGTTTTCCTTTTTTTTTTGAGACCGTACCTAATCTGTGCTGTTTACTTTTTCCATGCATTTGCGAAGTCTCCTTAATTTTCTGTGAATTGGATGCAGGTTAACTGTGCATGCAGAGTGCCCAATGCATCTGGAGGATTTCCCCATGGACTTTCATTCCTGTCCACTAAAATTTGGCAGCTGTGAGTAACTCTGATGATGATAGCGCCTGAGGGACCTTAAAGTAAAATGTTTTCTTTTGTTTAGTTTTTTTCTCGTCACTGGTTCTTTGGCAAGTGAGCAGCCTAAGATCTGAGTGAAGCTGGAATGCATGGCTCAGTTATACACAATATGCAGCAATTAAACAGATATAGAACTGACAGATTAAGGACTGAGTGGAAATGTCTCTGGGAAATATGGGGAAAAAAGACTCATCCAAATATTTTATTTTGTGAACTTAAATCTGTTTAATCACTACTTTATTGCCATGGCTTCTTCACATTTGGATGAAAGTTTTTTGCTTTAAGCTGCTTTTAAGATATTGGTTTAAAAACAAGAGATTATTAAGAGCATCAGTACATGATGGGTCATGTCTGAAATGCCTTGACTTCTCACATAAATTAAATATCCCATTAAATTTCACATTAATCTCTTTGCTCATTTGCTGTTTGCTCACAATACAATAATATGTAGCATAGCCTGACTGGCAGAATCTTTCAATAAGTTTATATAAAGGGGAGAAAAAAATGTTTTTCTGTTTGATCAGGCATTCTTAGGTTAGCTGACAAGCTTTCAAATTTCATATTCAGTGTATGCTGTGACTGATTGAAAAGGGCAAATGTCACCGTGCATCAGTTGCTTGTTGGCGTTTTATGAATTTCATCTTCAACCACTGAGAGATTTTTCTCTCTCTACTGTATTCTTTTTTTCTAGAAACCCAGCATTAAACACAATGTAGTGGGGGGCTTTTCATTTGGGTCAGTGAAATAATTTCTCGAAAAATCATCAATAGCTGCGGTTGCCCCAGATTTATTCCCTATGGGTTTATCCTCTTCTCTTTTTTTAGATGCCTACACAATCTCAGAAGTGACTTATGCTTGGACTCGAAATGCCTCCGACTCTGTGGTGGTGGAAGGAGAAAGCTCCCGCTTGAACCAGTATGACCTGCTTGGACAAACGGTCGGACAAGAAACCATCAAATCGAGTACAGGTAGGCTTTTGTGGAGGTCTAATGGAAGTCTAGAGGGAATTAAATATACCTCATGACTCCTCCATCTCTTCATCCTCTGCAGCAAATGTTCATCCAGCTTAGAAAATGTCTCAGAAATAGGAAAGAAACCCTGGATTTTGGATTTTCAAACACTTATGAAGTCATACTACTAAAATAGTCTGGGTTTTGCTAGATAGTTCCCAGCTGGCATGCAGCAAACTGTGGATATTTAATAGCTTTTTCTAAAACACCCTTTAGCGACAAAACCTGTTTAAACAATAACCCGAAAACTGCGATCTTTACCTTTGACCTGCCTAATTTTTTGGAACCTAAAAATCTTTATTATCTCAGTTCCAAACTGTTTTTTGGTGTGAAAATCAAACTGTGAAGATTTTTAGCTTGTTTGGGTGGATGTTGAACTTGTCCACCTCCTACATGTTGCAGGAGGCGGCCGTAGCTTGCTGTGAAACGCTTGCTAAGTTTTGCCTTTTGGTTACTCACTTTATTTGGCTTGAAAACTGCAGAGAGACATTTGTTCTGGCTTCCTCTGCATGACAAAGATTCGACAAAACAGGGATTTGGCAGTCATGCATTTTGAATTTCCTACTTTGTTCTGTATTCTGTTCATCTCAGAGGAACTGGAAGTGAAATCTGAGATGAGAAATCTTTAAACGTAAACTGAAAGCCAACCTCTTCTGCCCGGCTTTTGATCAAGAATCAATATTTATTTTATTCACTTATTTTATTCTACTAGTTTTGTAAAGTTTCATCCTATTTTATTGTATCTGTTATTTCATTATTATTCAAATAATTGTATATTTATTTCATTTTGTTTTATTTTGTCTCTTTAATCTAATCTAGTTTTTAGTCTTGCTTAAGCTAGCTCTATTATGGTCTGTCTTCTGACTTATTATTGGCTTTACAGTTACTTGTGGAGCACTTGTAACTACACTAACAAGTATGAAAGGTGCTATAAAAACTTAGTTTGACTGATAGATTGATTAATTGATTGATTGATTGAATCTGCATTTAGCACGGCCTGGAGACCCAAAAGCAGCATGACAGGTGAGCTGCTGCTGCGATAAACCTTTTCATTTTATAAACCCCCACTCAGGAGAACAAAATGGGCAAACATTCAAATGCAGTGCAGTTTCTTTGGATGGATTTTAAATGCATGTCAAGAAAAACAGATGCTGGTGCAGAACTAGACATAAGGGAGCACATCTGTGTGGTGTAGCTGTCAGAGACACTAACAGAGGAGCTCCAGGAGAAAAGAATAACTGCTGAGTTCTTCAGTGATTTAAGTGTCTTATGTTGGTGCCCAAAGACACAGGAATGTCTCTCAAAAGTGCAATGGTGCATGAAATGACAAATAAAATCTATGTTCTGGGCCCAGAAAGTGAATAACTCGGTGTGCATTGAAAATGTGGCATTTCACTCAAATGGACCTGCAGGAGACATTAGCAAGTGAATCCAACAGTGACAAGCTCATTAGTGGACAGGATAATTAACTTAAGTCTAGAGTCTTAAGACATTGGCTCGAAGCAAAAAGCAGGGGATGAAAAGTGTAAACGTGTATGGAAAGTAAAGCTTGTATAAAAAATGACAACCTGGCTGGCAAATTAAGCCAACGTGGAGGTAACAAAAGCTGCAGTTCCTCAAACGGCCACTTCAGGCTGGCTGCAAAAGTGTATCTCCATAAGGCCTCATATTAAAATACCCAGTTTTACAGCATAAATAAGTATGTTTACAGCCTGGTGTGGTTGTAGTCTCTAAAGCTTTTTTGTCCGTGACAACCACAGGATTTTTTTATATAACAGACCCCTTTAGATTATATCAAGGCTTCAAGTCACGCTTTGAGTGACAGGTGGGTGCCGTCACTGGCAGCTGGTTTCAGTAACCCGGCTTCTTTCAGCCCGCCTGACTCACGCTCCATGTCTTTGCCCATTTTTGGATCAGCCGTGAGCCAGCGGAGTCATGACTGGCAAAGATGGTGATGACAGCTGGAAACGGCCGCACTGAGCTTCACAACGGCTCTTCAGAAAGCTATCGGTGACGTCACAGAGACCACTTTTTAATTATAGGCCTACAGTCTATGGCTACAACTGATAAAATAAAACTCTCCTTATTATCATTTTAAACTGCATATGTGCAACAGTGGCCAAGGGGAAGGGCTTAGCGAATAATTAATTCTTCCTGTTTTAAGTCTTCTTGTTAATTCATTGAAATTGTGTAAAAAAAAGATATGTTTAGACTAAATTGTAATAATAATGAACTCAGAAATATGGCAGTAACCATCATAAAGCCTTGAAGCCTTGCTGGCTCTGTCAGGGGTCTGAACAGAAATAGAAATATATTGTATCCAAGACAATCAGTTGTCACGTTTAATGTATTTATAAAACACTTTCAACAAGCATATTGTTCACAAAGTGAATACAGAAAACAAAGAACACAAACACATAGAAAAATAGGCTATAGTATAAAAGAAAGAGATAATGAGGACTAAAAATAGAACAAACACATTGCAAACAACACAGAGGCCAAGAAACGGGGCCAGAACTTGAGTGTATATGTGTTTCTGTGTGTTGAAGATGAGGGGGACAGGAAGTAGACAGCGAGGAGAAATAGCTGGTAAATAAATGTGTCTTGAGTCTGGATTTAAATGCTGAGACACTGTGAGGCTAGCTGGCTTCTCGTTGAGAGATGATGAAGAGAGGGATGAAGGCTGGCAGCTGTTTTCTTTTACATGCTGGGAGTGACAAGGAATCTGACACCGAGTGACTAGTGATTATGTGTTGGCTGAAAGAAAATCACTGATGAAGGCTATGCAATACATTTTAAGTTATAAATAAGAGCCTGCAATTATATACACATGTTTACGGGGAGCCACTGAACAGAGAATAAGGCCAGACTGCAGAGTTTTTTCGGGTTTTCTGTAAAGAAAAGGGACATGCTTCAACCTGGGAATGATTATTGTAGGGATTGGAAAACAAAAAAGATTTGTGTTAACATTTGAGTGGATCCTTTGAGGTGACTCCACAGTATTTGAAATAAAGCTGTCGGGGCTGCTTAGGAGACAAAATTTATCATCCACCTTGTGTTGTTTACCGTTTATTTCCCATGTTTTACATTTAATTCGGTCGGGAACTATCATAAAAATGGAAATTCAAATCAACTCTGCAACAGGTTCTCCCTGCTGTGGCAATGCATTGTAGCAGAATGGAATACTTAGCACAGTGATAAATAACATGCAGGGATACATAGGAAATAATCCCTCCAATGGTTATTAACTTAGAAATAAACGCCCTCGAGGGTGCGCAATAAACAAAAAGCAGAACCAAAGCAGGTGGAGGCTGGGAGGAGTGGAGCAGCAGTAACGTCAGCATACAGAGCGAATGTGAATGTCTTTAAATAGGCCGCCACATCAGTGCAGTGAGATGTGATTGTGCTGTGGTTGTGGTTGGTTAACTGTGAGTTGACACCGCAGAGGATGGCGCCAAACAATGGCATGCTATAGTTAGTTATTACGGTAGAAATGCAATGTCATTGTTATGGATAATAATAATAATAATAA